AGCAAACGTATCCTGCAAGGTGCTCGACCAACGCTGCGTGGGATTCAAGTGAGATGTCTCGCTTCCAGGAAGAGCTGTGCCAGAGCCAAGACAGAAGAGTCGCTATTCCCACCAGGGAGCAGAGAAGAAAGTTGTTCAGGGTTTTCCCCTTTGGCTACCTTTGGGTCAGGGGGATTAGCTGGCAAAGACAAGCAGTCCACCCTCGCCTTCCCGCATGCCATGCAAGGAGCCTGCGCAGGATTGGGCCCTCGCTGGGAGTGTCTTTCTGTGTATTTGGGCCCAACCCTTCCTTTGCCCTTGTGCTAAAACCACCTTCTTCAAGTGGCTGAGCTATCCACTGGAGCTTTTCAGTTCCTAACTCGGGAGTACTCACTTCTCAGCCTGCAATTCCCCATGGTATCCAGAGCTGGAGGTTTTTGCGGGGTTATGTTGACTTGTTTTTTAATCTTAATAAGGGAATTTTAGGTGCTAAAAAGAACAAGCAATTAGAAATGACAATTACCTAAGGCCCAATCCTCTGGCAGTGACAGCAATGGGAAAAGTCGGGCCATTTTCCAGGGACTTTGACTTCTCCTCATCCCCACTTGCACTCTCTTTTCTGTGCCCACATTTGCTTAGCGTCTCATTTTTCCAAAGTGCCCTTCCCATGCATGCTGCAGCTTCTGCTTTGTATTTCTGCTGCCTCCTCTCCTTGAGGATGGCCAGGAGCTTTACAAAAAATGAACTAATTGACCTCATTGCTTTGGCACCAGGTCAGCATTATCCCTATTTTCCAGATGAAAAAAAGATGAGTCCCAGGTGTAGCAAGCCACGGCTAGGAAAATGGCCCGAGCAAAAACAAACCCACACAAACCTTAGAGGCCGCTGCTAGAAATCTGAACTCAGGTGAGTGCAAAGAAACCCCCCCCCCAAAGAATTAGCCTCTGTGATGAGAGTGAGGTCTGCGGGAGTTTTTAATCAAAGTGCTTTCATCTCATCTCATTGCTAAATATGCTGGCTAAGTAACAGGTACCTCTATGGTACTGCGGTTCTTACCGGGAAACCCACCTGATGCTCAACTATGCAAAGCCCCCTTTTTAAGGTTCGATGGGGACCACGGTCTGCTCCTAGCACCACGGTGGGACTCCGTGCCGGACTAATGGGATGGGTAAAGTCTAATGCGAGGCACTGAACTCCTAGCTCCATTAAGCTAATCGGGTTTGCCGCTGCGTAAGCAGCACCACGCAGCTATTCAGCCTCTTGCTTTTTCTCTCCGAGGATTTATGACGCTGCCCAATGCCGGAAGAGGTGTGAATCACTTGCTGAACAAACGGTGAAGCATTTCTTTGTATCAAAGTTTCCCAGGACCTGAACCTGCCACCAACTTGCATTTTCACTCTGTCAAACCAACAGCTGCCTTGGGCTAGGATTGCCGTGCATGAGGTCCTTACGTCCTGTGGAGGAAGTAAAGTAGAGTATGGTCTACCTAGCTCAAACGCCTATGTAGGGGAGTACGGTGGCATATCGCTCCCCAGGCCTCCTGTGCTCCAGCGACTCCCTTCACAGGCTCGAGAGCAACCTCTGGAGGTCGTCGTTTCCGTGCAGGTGGAAATTGTTGGAGATTTATGAGAGCTGTGATGGACCAAGATCATCCCAGGGATCATTTATGAGAGCTGTGATGAATCCAGATCATCCAGGGATGTGGTTGTTTCAGCATCATCTGGGACAACCTTGCTCCCGGGTGTCTGACCCCAGGCAAAAACAGCCTTCCATCCCAATCTAGACGGTTGTAACAGATAACCCTCTGCTCAGGCTTTCTTGTTGCTCCCCTGGACATTTAACAAATCCTCGCAGAGTTTATCAAATTGCAGTATTCCAGCACTGAGGCCAAGCGTTGACCCTACTGATTTCAGTGGGAACCACTTACATATCTGAGAACAGGACTTGACTCTTGTTGGTCCTTCAAAGACTCATGGGCATCCCATCCCCTAGTGCCCTTCACTATTATGTGTTTCAATGTTGAACTTTGGAGATTGCTGTGATAAGATTGGGGCCTCATGGTGCTGGGCACCAGACCAGCACAAGACAGTCAACAGATGGGCATGAGAGAGTCCCAGAAGAGTAGACACGCATGCCCAAGTTCACTTAGTAGCTCTGGGACTAGACTTCCTCATCCTAATCCTTTGCTTTCTCCATTGAACAGCACTGCTTCGCCAAGTCTTAAGGATACTCAGAAGTTTCTCTCTCTAATTTCAGAAGAAATACTTGAGCCTGACTAACACACACACTATTTCCCCATCAGGCTGCACATGACTTATCCATACTACCCAAAACACATTTGTTCTTGCACAGCCTGGCCTTTAAAGTAAGAGCTCATATTCATACTTTCCACATCCTCTAGACTTAGACACCAGAAATACTTATTCCAAAATTGTCTCTAACCCTAAAGCACATATTTGCCTTTACAGCTGCAAAGTCCCATAGCTAAACCTAGCTTCCAGACAGCATTACATCTCTCAGATGGTCATGGATTAACTAAGATTCAGAGTCAGCCCCCATGTCTACAGCCAAGTCAGCCCCAAAACTGTTTTAGCCAGGCTTGTTGCAGAACCACATGCACTGAAAACCCTGAAGATTTAGAAAGGCACTTTTATGCCAGTGATCATTGATCCATAAAGTCCCATACCCACCTTCTGGCAGTGATTTGTTCTTGATGCTTTGGAAGAAAAGGCCGAAGCACTATCTCAAAACACTTTGAGACGCAACTTGATGAATGATGTCACCGGAAGGGAAGGCAAGTCTTCATCCTGATTTTATCTTCAAACTAGCCTGTAACTTAATGGAACGATGCACCTGTTCGCTTCTAACTCTGCTACAAAGCGGTGAACCATCTCCCCTTGGCCTCTGATGCCCATCCACAAGAACCCTGTAACTTCATTGAAATGACCCAAAATTGACACCGGCCCAAGCGAGAGCACAATTTTCCCGTTAACTACAGAATATATCATGTGCATTCAAAGAAGTGTTTACCAGGTTTTTTAGATTCCTGCTATGCTATCTAGCTAGTAATGCTAGATCGCATATTTTTTCTCATGAAAAATGCCAAACTTTGAATTTTTTTGTCTCGATTCGGGGGCGGGGAACGACCTCTCATAATTTCCCACAGGACCGAAACTCCATTCTTCCTCCACCCCTACTGCTAATGGGAATGCATTTCGTTAGTACATTTTGGTGAGCAGATTTAAACAAAAGAAAAGAAAAATGCCAAAACAGGTGGCTGCCCACGAGCTACACCTTGCAGGCCGGACCTTGGGGTCCCAAGCCCTGGCATAACATTGGCAAGGGGCAGCGGACCACACTCAGGGTTTCACAGGGCAGATCTCTGCCAGTTGTGGAGCGAGCTGCGTTCCTCCGTCATGCTTCATCCTTCCCGATCCAGAGAGGTGCTGAGTGCCCCGAGCTAGACTTGGGAACCACGAGCACTTGGCACATGCGGGTTCTAAAGCCACGGTGCGCACGATCCCGTTTCCGGGTGGGATTTCTTTACAACGCCTGCCTACGGAAGAGCGAGCTTCGACAAGGAAGCCGGGCGAACGCGAGGTGATGCTCGTACCGTATATGTGCAGAAAAGTGGGCTCTCCAAATAGGCGTACGCCTGTGCCAATAAGATCCCACACGCATTCCAGATGAGCACATTCATGAGCTCCTATTATCATCGGTGGGAGGGGGAAGGGGGGACGTCCATGTCTGTACGTGTTTTCTGTGCTAATCTGAGGGCTGGCCCAAATCCCAGTACTTGGGTCACTTGTACACAGAGTTCTCATTGTGACTCGGGGGTAAAATGGCAGCTTCTCAGTTGTGCTTTGAAACTATGCATTTTTTAAAACTTGTGTATGCATAAGCCTCTTATTTAATGAATGCCTCCCTTTGTATTTACATGTTCCACCATCCACAGAACAAATAGGGTTTAGTCATTTGAGAGTGAAAACTTCTAGTCCTCAAGGAAAAGCAGAAGAAGGAGGGGAGGTGCGGGGGGGAACTAGTAGCTATTTTGTGGAAGTGATAAAAATGGGTTAGTCCCTTCGTTTAGTCTGACCGGATCATAACCATATCCCAACGGATGCAAATCTATTGGCTTTAAATCACTTTCTAAATGAGTTTCTGGAGGGACCGAGGAGTTTCGTTAAGGTTTTGTATTTTAAATGTAACCAAATCCCATTTTGTTTCCTGCGGTGATTTCAGAATTTAGTCACCGGGGAAACATTATATAGGGGGTGATATACTGGCCTGAAACGAGAACTATTTTACCTGATGGGGACGGCGTCTTAGTCTACCCTTTGCATTTCTTTTTTGATTTCCCCTTTCACAGTCAGCCGCCGTACTTTTCATTTATTTATTATTTCCCACAATTTGTAGACGACAGAGATCATTTTACAGGATTCAGCAGCCCAGATTGGAGTGTGCCTCAAGCAGCATTTTAAGATGTCATGATTTCCAAATGGAAATAGTTATAAATTAGTTCTTGGGCACTCCAACTCATTTATAAGAGTGGGTCGAGAAACTCTTCAATATTAATTAGTAGCCTGTGAATTCAGTCTATGCAATTATGAGGAGACAGTTCTCCGAGTATGAAAGAACCAACTTATCATATTTTTGAATTCCCCATCTAGAAGCTTGAATATTTTTGTATTTCCATATTTCTCAAGTAGCACTTAATTTAATCTTAGCCCCATTTCTTTCAATAAACCATTGTTGCATCTCTTAAGCAGCACAGCTTCCTCCTCTAACTCATCTCCCCGTGAAATTGGTTTAATGAAGCAGAAAGGTATGAAGCATTAACAACACTGGAATTCATGTGGTAGCACTTCATTTTTCAGAGGCACTCACATTTCCTACCTAATTTATAAAATCAGCACACAAATGATTTTTATCACAGCCATTACATCAGTATAAATTACTGCCTTTTCTATAACACGGCAGTTAGTCAAACTGTTGAAATGATATCTATTAGTCATGGAGAGGAGGGGGAAAAAAAAAAAAACCAAAAACCTGTAGGGAAGATTTGGTGTAAAATGAGGACTGATAGGGGCCTTATTGAAACACTCATATTCATTTACAATAATGAACTTCGATGGGGTATATTTTGCAAGTACGCAAAGGAAAATTAGCACGTGCATGCACAGAGTAAAGCAGATGGAGCAATTTGTTATAGGCCAGGAAGGACAGTCAGCAAACAAACTATGTGGTGGCTCGGGCCGTCAGCAATGCAATTAGTAGGGAGTTCTTCCTGTTCAGCCAGGCCATAGATTTCACCAGCCCCAGTTATTGTCCTACGGCTCCTCCCCAGGTTTGCCATGTGTCTCATTGTCGGGGCTCTGTCGGCCCATTTTTGTGCAGCGTGGCTCCTTCGAGTCATATTTTTCCTCCCAAGCCTTCTCTGCAGACCGTTACCAACCGGCACCCTCGTTGTTTCGACTTCCGTCCGAGCTAGCGAGACTCGGCTGACTGCCACCCATGTTGCTAGACAGCCGCAAATAAAATGACGCTTGCTGGGAAAAGCTTTGATAAATGTCCTCTGCTTCCTAGGCGGCCAAAACAGGGTCTGAGCTGTTCTCACAGGACTTCAAGCCTGGTTCATGAAGTGGAGCATATAAAAAAATTATATTTATGTATAGATCTCAATCTATATAAATCTATATAGATATGTATCAAATATATAGATACAGATCTCTGTCGATACAGATCTATCTATCTACATATACACAGAGAGAGAGATGTATTGATAGAGATCTGTATCTATATAGATGAATCAGTTATATATATGTATTGACAGAGATCTGTATCTATACAGATGTATCAATTATATACTTAGAAATGTATCAATTTTATATATATATATATATATATATATATATATAGATCTGTATCTATATAGATGTATTGATATATAGATGTATCTATATAGAAGTATCAATTTTATTTATATATATCTATATCTATATATCTATAGATATATAGATAGATTATATATCTTATATATAGATAGCTATAGATATAGAGATCTGTAGCTATATAGATGTATTGATATATTTATTATATATAGAGAGAGATGTATCGATATAGATCTGTATCGATCTATATCTCTTTCTATATATATAGTTATAGATTAATAGAGTCATATCTATATTTCTGCCAGCACCACAGATAGACAGCTCATGCTTGAAAATATTTAGCCCTAATATTTAGCCCTTTCCCTATGTCAGCTATCGTTACCATCTCCTCTGCTTCTCGGACAAGCCTTTTGATGCCTCTGTCCTGGCTACCTATCATGTATGTAGGGCTCCCTCCCAACACTGACCTGTGAATTCATCTCTTCATCAGCTCCCTCCTCAACACCTGCCTTTACTGTGATGTCCACAGGGAAGCACCACCTGCTAATGGTTGGACAGAAGGCCAGATTGATACAGGAATGAACTAACTCCTTCAGAACCATCAAGTTCTCTGATAATCTGATTTCCTAAACCTCCTACTATCAGCACCGCTCCCCTTGTCCTCCCAGGTACCTTCCCTTGGTTGCACCCACTTGCTGCATCCTATTGGAAAGCTTTGTGCAGCGGGGCTGTGCCGTTGAAATGTCACCGCATTGTGGAGCTCTTGCATTCCTGGGTGCTCCATGTAATGAAGGGAGTTTCAAGATTTAAAATAAAAAAAAATATATATATATCTGAACTGTTTGCGGTGTAACAAAAAATCAACACCCTTGTACACGCGTGCTGTAAACAGCTCAGCTAAGTTAGTTATCCCTTTCTGAACCTTAATTGCTCCCCTTGTCCTCCCAGGTACCTGGGCCTTAATTTCTGCATATGTTATGATTTAACAGGCTGAAGTCCTTTTCATTCCCCACTACAGGGGCTTTTCTTATTTTTCTGTATGCTCAAAGATAGGCAACACTGGCATAGCAGTGTCTACTGATGGCACCTGGTGGCTAAAGCAGAGAAATGCTTGGAAATATGAACAAGGAAGATGGAGCAGGGAATAGGAAAAAATGGGATAGGAAGTAGGTAGCAGAACTTTTTTTTCCCATACTGAACACTGCAAAAAATAAAAATTGTTGCTACTGAGCAAATACTGCTAAGCCTTAGAGAAACATCTTCTATGACACTTGGACAGATTATGCCTTTTATGACAAGTGCACAAGGGAAAAAAGTTTCTTCCCCATATGTTCCCCCATCTCTCTCCTTTGAAGTCCTTGCAGGAGCAGTGAGGCAGGGGCACAGGACCAGGGCTCCCTTTCCTGTCAGTGGAGATACCCAGCCATTGATGACAGAGCTTCCCGCATCCTCAATAAAAGGTCTCATAGCCCCCGATACTAGATTGCCACAGTACGGCCCGCTGGCTCTGCCCAGGGTGGCTTGCAAGCCTGACAGGTATTGGCAGGGCACGGTGTCCCCAGGGCTGCTTTTTTTTGGGCAAGCACAGCAAATGGAAGGTGCATGGGATTCAAGGGACGTTAGAGTCGCTCCCCAACTACAAACCTGTGGCGTGCTTATGCCACATTTCTCCAGGAGACTTCCTCCTCCCCTCCTCTTCTTTCTACATTAGCCTTATAATTAAATATGCATCTCACTAAGGACATATTGCGTTGATAAAGGTAGAAAAAAAAATCAATGCAAGGGAAAGTTCACTTATCATTCGCTTTTGCCTTCCTGCAACACCATTAGGAAACACAACGAGATATTTGACTTTGAAGTCCTCGTGTTAATGCTACAACTACAGCAGCTGCGAATGAGGGGGCCACTTCTATGGTCCAATAGCACAGCATTGCCCAGCCAAAGGGCTTAGGCTAGCTGGCCGCCAAGGGATTTCTGCCTTTGGCTTCCAGCATCACAGGGGCAGCTGAAGCTGCCGTGATGCAGGAGACAGGGCTGGGTGCAATCCCGACTCCTGGGACCTCTAGGCTGTGCCCTGGTCCCTTTAAGCTGGTTCATTCTCTTCCAACATATGCTGGAGAACGGATAAGCAGCAGGACATCCGGTAAGGGCTCCTGGGCCGCATGCCAGGATGAGGTCCACAGCATTGTGGGGAGGAATATGAAATTATTAGGATGGTTATAATTTGCATTCCTTTACCACCTAGAGACCTCAGGAGAGAACTTTGTACCCGACGCATTGGCTTCAAGAGCTCACAAGCAAAATAGAGAAGATGGATGAAGTGTGGGAGAGGAAACCGAAGCAAAGTGATTTGCCCAGGGTTATACAGCCGGTCAGTGGCAGAGCCTCGAATCAAAGCCTGGTTGGTCTCCTGTGAGCCAGCCCAGTGCCCTGTTCACAAGACCCAGCCCCCTCCCCATCCATTCATCATCAAGAGACTCGCAAATTTGTACTTAACCCCCCCACCAAAAAAAAAACCCAAACAAAACTAAAGGGCATATTGCAATGCCTAGTACTGGAAAACACCCCAAATCAACCACTGGAAAGCTTGAAAGGGGGACTTAAAAGAAACATGGCTGAATGTCTGTTTGCCAGCTAGACTGAGAGGTTATCGGCCAATTAAGATAAGCGCGTTGAGAGGGAATCAAGTGACTTGTTGCACATCAAACAAACAGCTGTACATCTTTTGTGTAAACACTAAGGCAGAAATACTCGGTATAACTTTCCCGGGCCCAGTCCCAGCCTCACACACTCTGCACCTGCAGCCAAGACCCAAGCCCTCGGCCAAGTTCACAGGTGAAAGAGGCTCTCGACCTTGGCATTGCTATGATTGCCAGCCCTCCAGGATTGCCCTGGATCCTCCAGGAATTATCTATCTATCTATCTATCTATCTAGATATATCTATATCAATCTCCAGGAGACTGTTGAGAGTCACCTGGGAGATAAATGATAGGGCATTCAGGAAAATAAATATTAAATGTTGAATCCGGTTTATACTGTAGTCCGGTGGGTTTTAAAACCATAAGAATAATGTGCACTTGCCTTCCTGATGTGAAGTCTGTGCACCGTAATTTGTAACTGATATACGCCAGCACGCGGGCACGTTGGCGTTGTGTGTTGCGGGCACGTTGGCGTGCCGGAAACCTCCCGGAGTAGATTCGAACAGAGTTGGCAACCCGAGGCACTGCTGTTGTAAGAAAAGCAACAGAAGGAGCATTTGCTTGCCAGCTCTCTCTCAAAGGGCTACAATCTGAACAGCAAACGACATAGCATTTGTGGAAGGATTTGTTTTTTAACAGCTTGCAGCAGGATATACTGTAGCCTCACACTTACCCAGCTCAGCACATGCTTCCTTTTCACAAGGCATCGCTGCATCAATTTTGTACCCGTTTCCATTTGCTGCTGCCCATGTGGCAAGGGGTTGTGTTTATCAGGTCACCATGTAAAGCATTTAAGGAAATACCTTCTGATTTTACAGAAATATAGTGGAAGTGAGAGGTGAGAAAAACACTGTGCAAACCAGAAACACACACATTTCTCCCCTGGTTGTGTAGATTCAACCTTTCTCCTGATCAGTTTTTAAGTGCCATGGTGTGATTTTTGGGATGTTGGTGAAAATTTGAACCAAAGAGTCAAGAAGGTATTAATTCACTGAACATCACGAAAAATGAGATGAGGCAAATAGGACAAAAAAAAAGATCTTGCCAGTCTAATGCTGGAGCTTTCAGTCTTTAAGATGTCCCTTTCAAGATTTAGATCTTGAAAGGGGCCTGGACTCGATGATCTTGCGAGGTGCCTTCCAGCCCTAACGTCTATGAAATCCCGGAGCAAGAGTGCATTGAAAGAAGCCTCTGCTATTGGGGCAGATGCACCAAAATCCCTTGTGAAGTGAGAGGACAATGAATTTGTGGGATAGGGGTCATAACCAGAATAAGGAGTCAGCGTTCAACGGTAGCGCCCATACCTTTGGGAAAACTTTTCTGCTTTCTTCTGAAAACTTTCTCTTCCATTTAAATGCCCCTTAACTACACCAATGTTTTATAACCCCCCAGCAATACTATCTCTAAAAAAATCATAGACACAAACCCAAGTTCAGGGTTTTTACTTTGAAAGAGAGAAATGTCAGAGATCCCACAAAGCTCTATCGCTACGGGTAATCCCATGCCAAGTGCTCAGATGCTACCGTGATGGGCAGCTTTCTAAAGCCTGTAGGTAGAGAGATGAAGTTGGAAGGTATTTTTTTTTTTTAATAGATGTTTTACTGCCTTTTTGGAATAGTAAAGCTAAAGGCTCGTCTTAACCTTTTTGTGTAAATAACTTCCTTATCCTGGGGCGTTCATCATCCGTTCAGCCTTAAAATGCCAGGCAGTGTTCTTAGCGATAGTCAATCAATGGCAGGATTAAAGGTGAAATCAGTTACACAGAGGAAGCCTGCCGCTGTTTCGCCAGTGTGGTGGCTCTAATCTCCCTCCGAGAGACTAAAGATCATAACTGATTTACTTCTCTTCCCTGGGGAACAATTTTCTGTAGCCTGAAGCAATCAGGAAACAGTCTGAATTGGCTTTAATACCCCATCTGCCCCCGGGGGAAGAGAGACACTGAAAAGACACTAGGTTGTTGCTTCTTCAGACTTGTAATTAAATAAACTCTGACAAATTTGACAGCCAGTATTTCCAATGTTACCAGCGGATGCTTTCT